GNGGGGGGGAGGGGGGAGGCTTCTTCTGAGTTTGGTTAATGCCATCGCATCCGCCTCTCTGCGCGGCGACGAGACGTCGGGCGAGGGGGCATGGCGAGGCCCGGGTTGCTGTCACGGCGCTATTGAACCACAACCCTGTGCTTTTTGTTCCCCTACGCCGGGCCATCGTTGTTTCGTCGTTTCGTCGTTTGGACTGCCTGCCATGCCAATGACCCATCCCCGTCACTGCGAACCAGCCCACTGTCTCTTGCTTGGCTCTCGCGCGGCTCTCGCGCACATGGGGGTGATGCCCATCACAGCACAGCACCGACGGCCACTCGCCGTGCCGCAGGCCCCATCCCAAGCCGTCCCAGGTCGTCCCAAGCACTTGACCACGCGCCGGCAGGCCCCATAGGTTCCCGCTGCTCTGCTACATCACGTAACCTCCCACGCTGCGACAAAGCTCCGGCCCGCTGATGACGGGCGGGAGGACTGATCCTGTCGGCCCCGTTTTGCCCTCTTTCAACCCTTATCACCCCCGTCGTAGCCTGCCAACCCGTCAGGATACTCTCGGGCCAGACGCAGCCTGAAGTCTGGACACCAGCTTGCTATATGTACTGTGCACGTGCGAGCCTTTGCCTACAACCGTGCTTGCTGTGCCGCCCGGGCTCAGGTACAGGTCAGTTAGTGCCTGCTCGCTAAACTGCACTCGACATGTTGTATCCCTGATATATGCTCGCACCCATTGAGGAGGTGGGTAGCGCAGGGCCAAGCCGGCTAGGGCGTGCCTGTTTAGCTAACATGCACACCCCATCGACACACCCGCCCACCCGCGTCCTTGCCCCCCCTGTGCTGTGCGACGACCCTACCTATCCACTCTCATGCTCCCTTGTTCCCTTATCCCATGCTGACTACGAGCGGATTTGGGACGCCACCGCGAGCCCACACCCTCACAACTCCATATCTGGAGTACTTGCGGTCAGGGTGGACTGACTGACTGAGTGCCACTTCCACACTCTCCGTTCCCCAGACCCAGATACTGGGCCGCCTTTCCATTTGCCCACACCCACTCGCCACGGCCATCCCTCTCACTATACCCGTGCTTCCTTCTCGGTTGGCCCGCCTTCACACCGCACACCCTTGTTCAGGCACGTTGTGGCAACCTCTAGGCTGCTTCCCAGGTAGGCAGCCTGTTTGACCAGCCTCCCCAGCTGAATGCATAGACCGGCCAAGCGATACCCACCTCATCGCAGCCGCATTTACCCTGATACATAAGGCTCGCTGGTCTCCGAGAGAGGTTCGCACCCCGCCGGGATAAATAAAAGTTTGTCCTGTCCTGGTTTGGTTTATCTGCCCGTGCTTACCTGCGGGGGCGCGGCATCCTTCTCGAGCCTTGTCTGGTACCACTCTGCCGGTCTTGGGGAGGAGTATACGGGCAGCCGCTATTGGTACCGTCTCTATCAATCTCTCACGCAACCTTTTCGTCACCTCGGCCCTCCCAGATGGATGTGAAATAGTTCAGGCACCCCTGGCATGATCCACGCAGGTTGCAAGACTGCTTCGCCCATCGAGCGCCTTATACCCGCTGCGTGCGTACTTATATGCCGGTTGTGTCCACTCTTTGCTGCCTCGATACGCAGCCGAGGGCAACTCGCATGGCTGGCTTGCATATATTACAACATACACCCACCAAACACGCCCACCCGCACCTCGACAGCATCCACACCCACTCCCTCTAAATAGGTCGTCCCCGCCCGCACCTCATACACCAACACGACGCACGTAGCTGCTAGTCGCGATCTTGGTTCCCTGCCGGAGAACCCTCAACCAGTGCGGACTGGCTGACGTTGTTCGCCAAAGTCAGCCCGGTCCGAGATCGCATTCGAGGACCGACGCGTGGAGAAAAGCAAGGAGGAAAGATCGAAAAGGAAAGAAAGAACAGGAAGAAAAAGAGAAAAAAAAAAAAAGCAATTACAGCCCGAAAAAAAAATTCACCACACAAACACGAGAACTCGACAGCGAACATCCGCAGCAGGCGCCACTCACACACCGGTTTGTCTGCTTGCCCTTACCGATCTTGGCCTACCGATATTGGCTTTGCCTTTCGCGCTTCTTTTTGGATTTGGTTTCTTGCCGATTCTACATCAAAACTTTCTCATCTGTCTCTTAGTCCGCCTCCCTGGACTCCTCGACCACCATTTTGGTCTCGCCAATGGCCGCACAACCGCAGGCGAGCGAGACCAACTGCAACTAATATCGGAACCGCTGCCGTCACCCGCATCAATACTTCCTTAGCCAAGACCTGGTGCGACCCAAAGGTGTGGGTTTTTGGAGGAGCAAAGACTGGCGCCAGAGACAACAAACCTTTCCCGCGTCGCGCCACCAGTGACCCTCTGTACAAGCCCCGGGTCTCACTCATATGCGGCTGGCCGTGTCACCATTCATACCTGTCCCAGAGACGGAGGCCTGATTGCCCTCGCCCTCGCTCCTCAAGGGGCCAACTGCGCACAGGGCTCGGAGCCACACCTCGACTCGACAGCCCCTCAGAAGCTGCCTGGCCGTCCCGATCAGAGACAGACGGCGACCACTGTCTGTCAGGTGGGTATGTGAGCTCTCTGGTAGACGCCGGCCGCCGTCGCCCGAGCAGCCGAGACAAGGGTGCGCCCGGCCTCAGAGCCAGTCAGTTTGCTGATACCAAGGTGTGACACAGGAAACCCTAGCCGTCGCCATACATTTCTCACAGGCCCCCGTCCGCTGCAGATCCCTCGGGCCTCATAACCGAGTTCCCTCTCGTCTTCGGCGTCCCCACCTCCCTCATGTCTGCAGCCGTCGAAGCCTCTCATCGAAGTCATTTCTTGCCTCCGCTGGACACAATGGCGAGGCCAGGAAGCGGGTGGGGTCACGATCCATACGCCCCGCGGCACGGCGGCTACCTCCAGGACCAGCAATACTCGCAGGCGCCCCAGCCCCCGTGTGAACGACTCCCGGGCCCCTCGAGCCTGCTCTCGTCCCAGTCCCATGCCGCAGCCTCGCCTCCGCCACAGGCGCCCACACCCGCCCATCAGTACCCAACCTCACCGTCTGTCCGGGATGCGCACTACAGTAGCAACCACCGACCAGCCTGCTATACCGCCGACTACGCGACCCCGTCCCCAATCACCCAAACACCACCTCTCCTTCCCGGCCCGGCCCCAGAGCAGCCGTCGCACTACTACCCTGTAGGGCCGCGACGACATCCAGACGCCCGCCTCTCACCGACGCAATCATCGGCCACCAGCGACAGGTCCGACGATGTAGTGGCGCCAGACGGGTCCAGGGGTCATGGCAGCCACTTTTTTCACCCGTCAAGAGGGCCGGCAGCCTTTCAACAAGCGCCACCAGTGGTGCCCAACCCGGGGCACCATATGCATCAACCCAGCAGGTCACATCCGCAACAGGAAGATAATCGTCATGCCGCTGCTGTCGGCGGCCTGATGGGGAAGCTTGTGCCACGGTCGTACTCTGCTAACGGACGACAAACACGTTCCAACGCTCCTCTTACCCCTACCATGATCCACCAGCAGCCACCTCCGCCGCCTCCGCCTCCGCCTCCGCCATCGGCACCTCACCTGATCAAAACACAGCTCCCTCCCCATCAGCAACAGCCTCCGCACCCCGCAGAACGACAGCCGATTCCGCCTACATACCACAGCACACCACAGCAGCAATATCAGAGCCCACAGTATCGCCAGAAGTACTCGACGAGCCCGCCACCGATGCCGAACGGATACCCAGCCCAGATGGAGCAGTACCCGCCAATGCCTCCCCAGCAGCAGCAGCAGCAACAGCAGCAGCAGCAGCAGCAACAACAGCACCAGGACAGCTTGTCTCCACGACAGGAGACGGTTAAGATGAGCATACACAGCATTCTTAGCGGCGGTGGGGATGCAGGCGGTAGTGGTGCTGCCAGCAGCGCCAGCAGTGTCGCCGATGGCAGAGTGGTCGGCTCGTCTACTCGCGCGGGGACGGCCAGCATCGCGTCATCCCCCTCGACGTCATCACAGAAAGCACCTACCATGCCGCCTCGGGTGCCAATGGCCCCCGAGTGCCGGATCCAAACACGACCTGTGGGGCCGATGGGCATCCTATCATCGCCCTCAACATCGTCACAAAAGGCACCTGTGACTGCGCCTTCGATCTCGAACCCGCCCGACTGTCCGGTGCAGGCACAACAGCCGGGACTACCCACCGTCGCACCACCGCCCTCGGTAGCCTCCCAGAAGGCCCCCGCCACGGCATCGCCACCACCGACTCCATCAGAATACCGGATCCAGGTACGGCAACAGCCCGTAGCTGCGCGATCATGTGGATTCGGCGAGCGCGACCGGCGCGTTATCGACCCGCCGCCCATCGTGCAGCTATTCTACAACAACCCAAAGGCGACCCCGGACGACGTCTCGGCGCGCATCAGGCACCCGTTCAGCGTGGTGCACTGCTCCATCTGGAACGAGACGGGCGAGCAGGACAACTCGGCCATGCCCGAGGACTACCGGCAGCAGCGGCGGCTCATGGGCACGCTCGTGGCGTCGCCGTTTGTGGGCTTCGACGAGAAGGGCGAGGAGGGCTGCTTCTTCTGCTTCCCGGACCTGAGCTGCCGGACCCCGGGCAACTTTAGGCTCAAGTTCTCGCTCGTCGTCATCTCGCCCCGCAGCATGCAGCTCGGCAGCAGGGCGCCCATCCTCGGCACCGCCATGAGCGAGGTCTTCACCGTGTACAACGCCAAGGACTTCCCCGGCATGCAGGCCAGCACGCCCCTGACAAAGAGGCTCAAGGAGCAGGGCTGCCTCATCAGCATCAAGAAGGGCAACGACAAGGCGGGCGGCGGCGGCGGCGGCATGCGTGACCGGGACAACAGTGATGACGACGACGATGACGATGCCGGTGGGGGCGGCGGAGGAGGAGCCGGCGCTGGTGGTGCTGGGCCCGGTCCTGGTGCCGGAAGGAGGAAGCGGCCGCGGAACAAGTGACGGCTTGATGACATAAAACCGGTCTTGGAGAGGGTGTTTTTTTTTGGGAGTCTGGGGGGTGTGCGGCCGGCGTCATCTGTCTATTCCTTTCCTTGTTTTTTTCCCCCCTGGATGCGAAGCCTTTGTTTGCTCCTCTTTCGGACTGCTTTCTTGCTTTCTTCGCCTTCTCCTGGTAGGAGCGGCTTCTACGACATGGCAAGCGAAAAGATTTTTGTTTCCTTTCCAAGATACCTTTTAGATGTCCCATCTATTTCTCAACACGATGATTTTCTTGTTCGACATCTATGCATCGTCTCTGTTTATGATTATTCATGATTATGAAGCCCTGCGATTTTTGGACCTCGTGATGGAGGGAGAACTTGGGCCTGGGTGTTAGTCTGTGGCTATTATTCTGTCGTCGACGGTGTGCGGCCTGGCTCCCGCGGCAAATCTCACAACCACCCCCTCTGATTCCCCGCATCTTGCCGCCCCGCCGAGCGAGGTTGCCGCCGCCGGCCCGTGTCGCCTTGGGACTTTTGCTGTCGAAAGGCTGCGTGGCTTGGAAGTAGTTGGCAGGAAACGTCGGGGCGACAAGAGAGACGCGATGCGCCCCGCCCGCAGCAAAGGGCGAGAATAAAGGGGCGAAGACCCTGTATGAACCATCTTCGAACTTTTTTTTTTTTTTTTTTTTTGCGATACAACTCTCTGTCGAGGTCAAACGCGGTGAGACTGGACTTTCCGTCGACTGCCAGTGAGGGTTCCCCAAACACTGTCGTGCTCGGAGACAATGGGCTGCTTCACGTCGGACCAGCCCACCCAGTCGTCTCTCTGCGTCGATTTCCCGTTTCCCCAAGGCAGGCACAAACATCTCGCTCAAGGGTTGGTTGAAGGTTGGTGTACCTTCTTGTATAACAATCAATGTTCCACTCATGTTGTCAAGCGTGATATATTCCTATAATCGTGATCCGAGCCTTGATATGCCGCTAAAATAACACATATATCGTGAATAAGCCCAAAACATTAGGGCGGGTTACATTCAACACACTCCCCACTAGACGCATGGTAGTGAGCGTTCAGTTTTCTCAAATCGGCGTGACAGGCCCAGTATTATGTTATGAAAAGAAAGATAATATCTAATGATCTCGGGGAAAGAGAAGCAAAAAGATAAGAGCCGAGTGGGTGTCAGGGGCCGAGAGAGTTTTGGGGGGTTTGTGTGGTTGGTGTGTATAAATGGGTAAAAACGTTGGTTACAACGGGATATTTACATGGAACGTTAAAGTGGGTATGTCGAGAAAGAGAGGCGTGCTGAATCATAAAAAGGCAATTGTGCGGTGGACGTGGCGCGCGCCGTGATCAAATCAGCAGCTGCATCGCAAGGCCGAGCCCGACGGCCGAGAGCAGCGTCCACGGCGGCGGACCCGCGAGCAGGCGCGCGCCGGCGCTCTGGGCCTCGGCGGGCATGGTGGCGTTGACGAAGCTGGCGCCGCAGCGCGAGTTGACCTGGAGGGCGGCGCTCGAGTAGGTGGCGGCGATGGGCAGCTTCCGGTTGGCGGCGTTGGCCTGGTAGATGGCCATGGTCTCGCGGATGCACCAGTTGCAGTTCGGGGACGAGTCGGTCGGCAGGGTCGAGTTCATGGGCAGGTAGTAGAAGTACGTGTTCTGCGCGTTGGAGGAGTTGGTGACGGCGCTGGCGAAGCAGTAGGCCTGGCTCGTCGGGTCGCGCAGGCACGTGGCCGAGAAGAGCGTCTCGTACGAGAGCAGGGCGCCGCGCAGCTGCGTCACGACCGAGTTCTGCAGATCGTAGTCGACGCCGCAGTTGTCCTTGGAGATCAGCTTGGTGGCTACTCCGGAAAGGTACGACGAGCAGAGCTTGACGTTGGCCGTGCACGACCTGTCGAGCACATTGGTGATGCCGACAAGGGACTTTTGAGCCTGGAAGAAGGATTTCGAGCCCTATATGAAACAGGAAAGGTGAGCTACTGTGTCCATGATAACATGCGAGGGGCCGGGGCCAGCTATAGTGTTGAGCTTACCAGAAGAAGCACAGAGAACGGGTAGCACTGCTGGAAGGTCGCGTTGGCAACCAGCGTCGACAGGAAGGTTCCGCAGGGCGACTCTGGCGACTGGGGGTTTGGCCTGGTGAAGTTGCCAGAGAGGTTTTCCTCGAGGAGGCTGGGCAGAGGGCTGGCCTGCGAGGTTGCGGTGCCGCCAGACTTGGTCGACGATGAACCCTGCGGGTTGCGGGCTTTGAGCTCGGCCTCCTGTTCTATGGTTGCCATCATGGCTAGATGTCCTTCGCTCGGCGGGGGTGGCCTCGTGTCGATGAGGAGCGTCCCCTCGACCGGGGTCGGGGCCCCGACTGTGGGAGCGGCGGTTGCGTCCGACTCGGAAGGGATGCGGACTGGCCGGTGGGGGTGTGCCACGACGGTGGCGGCCGAGGACAGGCAGAGGACGAAAGCAACGGCGATGAGCAGCCATTGCGATCTCGGCCTGGAGCAGCGGGTGCCTGTGCGCTGGTACACGCCGCCTCGAGCTCGTCCTAGCGGGGTTTGCTCCATGTTGGAGGCTCCTGGTGCCATCTTTACAAATCGTCCAAGATGTCACACAGGATCATGTTTCGAAGGCAGGAAAAGCCTATGTGGGATTCGATCGCGCCTCAAACGAGTGGGAGGCGGATGGACGGGAAGCGGCTCGAGATACGAGAGGATCGATCCCTCTTATATCGTGGACTATGGGATGAGAGTAAACTTGGCGGGGACAAGATGTTTCTTTGGTCCAAGCAAGCCAGGCGCACCCCTCCACGGGGCCCTATTATAAAAGAGCGGATGGGATCGGATCCCGGGAACTAAAGAGGAAAGAAGGAAGGCACAGACGCAAGGCGAGCCGGGAGCCTTGTGTTCCCGTCAAATAATCGCGTGAGGGGAAACGAGCTGGAGCTTGGCGAGTCAACGAAGCCAATATGGACGCTGCGGGTAAATTAAAGCTGCCGGCGCGGTGGCATGCGGGATGGAACCAGGGCGTGTGGGTGTTGACTGAATTATGGAATATGGACGACAATGCCGTGCCGTGGTCTCCCGAGCGATATGGGTGGATGGGCGGATTGTTGGTTGGCTGGCCAGGGGCGACGAGGGCGCCTCTAGTGGTCGGCAGCTGATCCGGGGAGCGGGCTCGACAGTCAGCTGGATGTCCGGGAGTTGCGTTGCTTTTCTGTTTCCCGACTGGCGAGGGTGGTGGGTTTGGTGCCGCGGAAGTATTATTTCATTAATAGTTTTGAGAGTAGTAGTGAGTGAGAGTGGTGGTAACGACACTGGAGGTACCTATATCAACGAGCGACTTGGGCCAATGGGCAGCAAAGGAGGGATGGGGGAGAGGGGAAGGCAAAGGCGACGAGTGGTAACATTAAAGATTAGGGCGGGCAGCCATGCCAATAAGAAGGAGTCGAGAGAAAAAGACGCATTAGGAACAAGATTGGGGTTGCGTTCTGGGGCGCGGGCAGGGTGTGTCGAGATGGCCAACCAAGCACGCGAGGCAGGGACATGGGCCCTATCGATAAAAAGAGAAAATGGGCTCACGTAGCGTGACGGGGCCCCTGGCGCCAATGCAGACCCCCATCCCCATCTGGGCTGGACAAGGGGGGCCTAGAAGGGTCCGGCTGCCTTGGACTTTGGGTGCCATCGTCAATGGCGCCAAGCCAAGGTACCTACCACATGAACCGGCAGCAAGGGTAGAGGGCATGGCAGCCGGTTTTGCCATGGGTCCAACGGTCTTTGTGTTTGCAGCGGCTTTGCTTGGGCTGCTTCTTTTTCTTTGTCTGATAACGTGTACTGGGCTGGGCTGGACTGTTGATAGAAGCGCGACGAGGGCCAGATGCGGGAGACTCGACAAAGGGCAGAGTCTGTGAGCAATATCACACTGCCTCTTCTTCTTCTGGTGGATTGGATGGTATGCGTGGTATGCGTGGTACGGTGGTGCGGGTGCAATGAACGATGCAGCCAAAGGCAAACGAGAAGCCGAGGGGTGGGAAGAAGCGTGCGCGTGTGTGGTGCAGCATTGTCATTGTCGCGTCTCGCAACCGAAACCAATTTCCATGTCGTCCAATGGCCATGGCCTGCCGTTGCCGACTTTGTCATTATCGATCGATAACGGCTGCTGTAAGGCCAGCTGTCCGTCCGCCTATCGGGAATATCGCGCTGCAGTGTAGGCTGTAGCAGCAGCCAAGTCGACTCTGCATCCAGTCTCTACATCCAGTCCACAGCGGTTCCGCCATGGGCTGCCAAGGTCCTTTTGCACACGAACTCCTCCCTCTTTCTGTCCTTCTCTCCGCCGTGCGGCCCTGGTCTGGTCAGGGCGGAGATGGGGAAAAGTGGAGGGGCGGGCACAGGAGAAAGAAGGCTCGATGCACGATCTTGTTCAGACGATCAAGTGGTGAAGAAGACCGGGAATAAGCACCAGTCGATTTTGGCCATGGCCAGGCCATGTGTTGGCTTGGGCCAGGTCCACATTTTAAGGGGGAGCGAGGGGACCCGGGAAGAGGGGCTGCAGCGCGGCCGTTGACGAGGAAGGCACAGACAAGGAGCTTAGCTTCCTTCTGCGTTTTCCCGCTTCTGCAGCACGAAAGCTCAGGCCCCGGCCCACGAATGGAATAGATTTGTTTCGAAGCAAAAGTTTCTTTCTCGACGCGTTTCCAGCGCGAGTCAAAATGGCCGGGCCAATGCAGGTACAGATTGCGCCGTCAAGTGGCTGGGCTGGTTTTATATTGAGCGAGCAGCGGCTGAGTTTCCTCGTCATTTCCTCCATTCTCCCATTGCCGTCGTTATCCATTATCGACTGCCCGGCTCTAAGGGGAGAAAAACGGAGCCGCGCACGGGGCGCACTTTCTCTGCTGTCTGATGGGTGGGGGCCCTTCGCGGATTGGCACAGCCACGCTGCCCCACCTCGGGTGTCCTCTTCAGTGGGCTCTCTGTCAATCACCCGCGTCTTTGAATTCCCCAACGTTCGGATTGTCCCAAGCGGGTGGCTGGGCTGGAGGAGACGCGAGACACAAAGAGAGAGGGCAACAAGATCAATCGCGGAGGAAAGAAAAAAAAAACAAGCAGCGCAGAACCGAAAAGCACTGCCAGCCGTGCCAACCAATACCCAGAATCGCTACCAGTCAACAGCCCAGTCCGGCTCGCTGATCGAGCATCATAGGGGCTCCGCTCCACAGTCCACACCTGCACGCAACCACCTTTTTGCGAAATAGCGTGTGCCGGCCGGGTGCGCGGCCAGGCCGTTATTCTCCGGGCTTCCTTGATCTGTAATGCATACTACTAGTGCCTGCCTTCCTAGGTACCTCCGTACAGACAGAGCGTGCCGCTCGTGTTCTGCGTCCTCTGCCTGTCCGTGTGCGGCCGTGCCAATGGGAGAGGATCTGGCGGGCGGCTCCAAATCTCCGCTGGCCGTTGCTGGAGACCGTTTACCACACAGAGGCTGCAGTCAATACCGAGAGCCCCAAGGTGAAATTGAAAGCGGCATGGGAGTGGGGACCACATAAACTCGGCTATGTGCAGCTTGCCTTGCTTTGCTTGATTGTTGGCTTGGGAGGAGGGGGAGGAGACAAGGCTCCGCTAGCTAAAATGCCTCGACCCTCTTCTCTTTTTTTTCTCCTTCGGGCTGACGACATGACAAGGACCCAAGGCGCGTCTAATCTTGGTACCGATGCCCACACACACACACACACACACGCCAAAGAGCCAATACTCGGGCGACTGCAATCTTGTTTGATTCGCCTACCTCGACCTATCGACCAGACATGAGCGCGGCGGTGAGGCGGTGAGGTGGTGGCCTGGCGCTTTTTTCTTGTTTTCCTGTTGGCACTGAAGTGGACATGGTGACTAGCAAAAAAAAAAAAAGGTGGAAAAAAGAGACAAGCCTGCCCCCAACGCCCAGCGCACGCAAACGACCGTGGTGGTGCGTAGCCTGACTGTGTTTGCGCCGTACACAGGATCAGATTTGCCGTGCCATCCGAGGAGAGCCTCTTCCTGATTTAGCACGTCTAACCGACCCGCCGCCGCCGCCGCCTCCTCCTTGCGCTCGGAAGGCGGCAGTCAGTAATGTAGCAGCCGCGTGTCGATAGCCCCTAGGAGTTGCGTAATGTCTCAGCCCGTTACGGCTGCGGGTCAAATACGGACCTAACACGGAATCAAATATCAGAGGAAAAAAGATAGCGTGGTTTTTTCCGCCCAGGGACGAGCCGGACTGATTCCGGGCCAGCACCCAAGGGTTTTGACAGACAAAAAGCATAAAGTAGAGGGGGTGAGGTCTCCATTGACATAGTATAGTATGAAGATAATAAGAGGATAGAATGTTATTGCAGGTGCATCTCTGCACATATTTAAAACTTATAATAAGACACGCAAGAGGCGCGTGTGTAGTCTATGTATCCGCGATATCATCCCACATCTGCCACGTGGTTTTTCCCCGTGGCTTCTATCCAACTTCAGCTGCACGCCGCCATGAACGCCGATCTAGATGCGATGACAATATGTACAAGGAAAGGAAAGAGATAGGAGGCACATAAAACGTTGATGTGTAAACGACATCAAGGAAATGGCAAAAGACATTAGAAAAATGATTAGACCCCAAGGGAGAATGAGAACAGACACCACCCCCCCTTACTTCTTCTCCAGGCTCTGCAGGTTCACGAGCTCGGCGTACCGCCCGTTGCGCTTCATGAGCTCGCCGTGCGTGCCGCTCTCGACGACGCGGCCCTGGTCGAAGACGTAGATGACGTCGGCCTTCTGGATGGTGCTCAGCCGGTGCGCGACGGCGATGGTGGTGCGGCCCTTGGCCGCCTTGTCGAGCGCCGCCTGCACCACCTTCTCCGACTCGCTGTCGAGCGCCGACGTGGCCTCGTCGAGCAGCAGGATCTTGGGGTCCCGGATGAGCGCCCGCGCGATGGCCACGCGCTGCTTCTGCCCGCCCGACAGGAGCGCGCCCTTGCTGCCCACCAGCGTGTTGAACCCTTCGGGCAGCGACATGATGAAGTCGTAGATGTTGGCCTCGTGGCACGCGAACTCGACCGCCTCGTCCGAGACGTCGCCGGGGGCGCCGAGGAGGATGTTCTCTTTGATGGTACCCTGTCAAGCCGAGCTTTGTTAGCATACCCGTGATTCTAGAGGCAACACCAGCCGAGACGCAGGATTTGGGATGTGAAAACTTACACTATACAGAGTCGGCTCCTGCTGCACGAGCGCGATCTGCGACCTGTAGTCGTTGACGTTGAGCGAGCTGATTTCACGACCGTCCACAAACACACCGCCCACGAGCGGGTCGTAGAAGCGCTCGAGCAGGGCAATGGTGGTGGACTTTCCGCAGCCCGAGGCGCCGACGAGCGCCACGTACTGCCCGGGAAGGACCTGAAGGTTGAGGCCGCGGAGGACGGGCTGCTCGGGCCGGGTCGGGTAGCGGAAGTGCACGTCGCGGAACTCGATGGTGCCCTCGACGGACGCGACGCGCTCGCCGTCCTCGGACCACGTGTCGATCCGGGGCTTGCGGTCGAACAGCGCCTTGAGCTCGGCGCTGGCCGTCGCCGCCTTGCCCATGTCGGGCGCGAACGAGAAGATGGTGCCGGCCGACTGCGCGCCGAAGATGACGGAGCTGAAGACGAGGAAGAACTGGAACATGCTGAGCTCGCCCTTGGCGATGAGGCTGCCGCCGTACCAAAAGCCCAGCGCGAGCACGAGGAAGGTCAGCGACTGGGACGCCGCGTACAGGGTCGACGACTTGAGCACCGAGCGGAGCGACGCCTGCTGCTGCCGGTCCAGCGACTCCTTGTACTGGCGGAGCACGTCGTCCTCGCGCGTCAGCGACGCCACGGTGCGGATCGCCGTGATGGCCTCGGAGGCGTACGACGCCGAGACCTGGTACGCGCGCTTGGCACGGCGCTGGTAGTGCGCCAGCATCCAGAAGCGGAGGAAGCCGCAGGCTAGCAGCACGGGGACCGTCGAGATGCAGACGAGCGCGAGCTTCCAGCCGACGGCGAGGGCGATGGTGAAGGCGGCGACGAGCGTCGTCGTGACCAGGAGAATGGTGCCGAGCGTGGAGCCGCTGAGGCCGGCCACGTGCGTGGTCTCGGTGGAGAGGAACGAAGTCAGCGCGCCGGCCGTGTTCTCCTCCTTGTCGTACTCGCCAATGTCCATGCGCAGCATCGACCTGAAGGCCCGGTCGCGCACCCGGTGGACCAGGCGCTCCGAGCACTTGGCGAAGAGCAGGCCCTGGGCGGCATACGCGATGAACTGCACGATGGCGAGCATGAGGTACATCAGACACCAGAACGAGACGTCGCTCTCCAGTGTTGGGATGTTCTGAGGCGTGAGCGGAACCGAGAGCGCCGTGATGAGCTTCGCGAAGAAGACAGCTTGCACCGGGTTGCCACCACCGCAGATGATGCTGAAGAAAAGACCGAGGACCATGAGCTTCCACTCGGACGCGTTGAAGGACGCGATGAGCTTGATCAGCTGCCAGAGCGGATATTTCCTCTTCTCCTCCGTCTTGCGGCCCTGGAGCGCGAGGCTGGAAGCCGACTTGCCCGTGGCGGACCGCTGCATCTTGGCGCCGATGTCGTCGTCGGGGTCAATGGGAGCGTCGCTCGGACCTTCCCTGTTGGACGTGGCCTTGCGGATCAGAGCCGCCTCGCCCGCAGCATCAATGGCCTCCTCCTCCTCGGCGGTCAGCTCGGCAACCTGGGCGATCTCCTGAGCAGTCACAAGTTTGTGGTACGCGCCCTGCTTCTCCAGCAGTTCGTTGTGGGTTCCCTGTTCGACGATCTCGCCAAGAGACATGACTACAATGTTGTGCGCGTCCCTGATGGTGCTCAGGCGGTGGGCAATGCTGATGGTGGTCCTTCCCTCCGAGGCAGTCTCCAGAGCAGCTTGAACGACACCCTCGGAGCGAGTATCCAGGGCAGAGGTCGCCTCGTCGAGAAGAAGAATCCGGGGGTCCGAAACGACGGCTCTGGCAATAGCAATACGTTGCTTCTGGCCTCCAGATAGCAGGAATCCACGCTCGCCGACGTTGGTCTCATATCCTTCAGGAAGCGCCATGACGAAATCGTGAGCGTTCGCCTTCTTCGCGGCTTCCAAAACAAGCTCCTTCTTCTTCTCCTCGGATTCGTGCTCGAATTTGGTTCCAATCAGGCCATGCTTGATGTTATCGTAGATGGTGACGTTGAAGAGGACAGGCTCCTGTTGCACAAGGCTGATGTTTTGGCGCAGCCAACGGAGGTTCAGGGTGCTAATGTCGTGTCCGTCCAGGTAGATCTTACCCTGCACCGGATTGTAGAATCGCTCAACCAGGCCGATGATGGTCGACTTGCCCGAGCCCGACGCGCCCACTAGAGCGGTGGTCTTGCCGGCGGGGATGGTAAGCGAGACGTCCTTCATGACGGTGACGTTGGGGCGCGAAGGGTAGATGTGCTTGATGTTCTCGAGCACGAGCGTGCCCTCGACCTTGTCCAGCTTGATTCCCTCATCCGAAGAAGCATCGAGACACGAGTGGCGATCAATGGTGTTGTAGATCTTGGCCGCGGCGCCGACGGCGCTGGTAAAAGCCTGGACGTTGGGGGCAATGTTGCCAATGTTGAAAGCACCGATCATGACGGACATCATGATTGTGAGCACACTGGACAGCGGGATGATTCCATCAACCAGGTACTTGCTACCCATCCAGAAGGCAAGGCCGTAGTTGAGATATAGCACCAGCATCATACCGCCAACCATGACGCCGAGAAGTCCCTTCTGGCGCCAGCCATAGGCCTCAGCCTTGGTAAGGTGGCTGTCGTACTGGCGGGCGAGGCGGTCCTGGGTGCCGAAGGCCACAGCGTTGCGGACGGAGCTGATGACCTCCTCGGCCACGCTTCCACCCAGGGCGTAGGACTCGATCGCCAGCTTGCTGTACTTCTGCAGGAAACCCGAGATGCTGCCCATGATCAGAAGCAGAGCGAAGACGGTAGACAGCAGGATCAGAGTGAGGCGCCAGTAGACGACAAAGGCAATGATAAAAGCGGTGACAAAGGTTGCGATGGCGGCGACGGTCAGGCCGACCTTCTCCGAGATGCCTTCCTGAACCATGTTGGTGTCGGCGGTGATACGGGTGGTGACCTCGCCGGCACCGAGCTTGTCGAAGAAGCCAATGTTCTGGCGCATGCAGCTCTCGAGGTAGTGGGCCCTAATCTTGGCGCTGATGTTCTCGCCAGTGTAGATGAAGCCGACGGTGAAGATGTAGGTGGTGACAAACTCGGCGATGGCCAGATACACAAAGTACAAGACGAGCTGCGTCATTGTGCCCATGAAGTCGTCGTATGTGATGCGCCGAAGGAAGTAGTCCTGGAAGACGCCGGCCAGGTTACCGAAGATGACCGTCATGAGTGGCAGTGCGGCGCCCGACACGATGGCGCAGACAAACGAGACAGCGATGATGGTCAGGTCGCTTGTGGAGGCGTAGCGGTACAGTGTCTTGTAGGCGACCTTAACGGACGGGGTGTCGACCTGCTGCTTGAGCACTGCAGCCTCGCCTTCGGGCAGGTGAGCGTAGGGGTCCTCATCCTTCTCGTCGGCGCCGGCGGCTTTCTGCAGCACCTTGGAGTCGACCTTGGACATGTCGACCTTCTCGGCCCGGGCGTCCTCAGTGGAGTTGCCACCACGGCTGTTGCCGCTGGAAGGGGGCGGTGACGACGCGCCGGCTGCGCCGGCGCGCTTCTCCGAAACCTCCTCGGCCGCCATTAGGGGCAAGCACCGGCGTTTGTGTGCTGTATCAATCCAACGCCCAATCCCAGTTGGAATAACTCTGTGAGGGTTGCTGTTATACGGGACGGTTGATTGCCAAGTCACTTGGCAACTTCGTGGGGTCGGATGTCGGCTGAAATCAGTTTAAAACTTGGGACTAGACGATGGCCTGTCACCCATGGACCTGGTAGGTTGGAAGGTTCAGATCGCCGAGTGAGTTAATCGGGAAATGTCGAGGGTAACCTTTCAGTCGGGGGGATCCTGATGTTAAAAAGGAATAAACAACAACCTACAACCCTGCCCAGGATCTTGTTGATCGATGGATCCGGGTGGCGGCAGACCCGGTTCATATAAAACTGAGACAAATCTGGAGGTGTCAGCAACCCCGTCCCAAAAGACCGAATACGTCGGCCGAGAAAGATTACGGATTAGCCTGGGCTTCCAGGTCCTATGATGGGTGTGCCATTGTATGGTAATTGGGGCTTTGCATGGAGCGATGGAGTCCCCCGAGCCGCTAGGCTCGGGCGGCGGCGGCATCCCTTGCCCCAGCAAGGCAGCTGGTTGCGAGTACATGTTCCAGCTGATGGTGGTCTCGGCCACTTGTTACTCCCCGAGTTGCGAGAGATTGAGCCCCAATGTAGCTCTCGGCTGAGCACCCCGGTCCTATCCTGCGCCAGGGCTCCCACGGGTGTGGGTGCTTTGGCTGTGTGACAAGCAACAAAAAACAAACAAGCATTCCCAATGGGCCTGCCTGAGCTCAGGGGCCCAGCGGCGGCTGGCCTCAGCTCCTGGTCATTCCATAATCCCGGAATTTCGGCGTTAGTCAGAAGGTCTTTCGGGTCCGTCTTGTTTCCCTCCAGGCATAATCGCGGCGTCGAATCTTGCCGTATGACTCCTGTGTGATCCATTGTGCGATTATTATTATTATTTCTCTTCTCCTCAGTAGGCTCCTCCGTTGGCGGGTCTGGAATGCGAGGGTGACGGCGTATTGCAAGTTCCGTGCTCCGAGGTCAGAACAAAGATCCGATGACGACCTTTTTTCGTCTCTTTTTTTCCCAGCTTGATCCTCCCGCCCGTCGGTCTTCTTCCACAACCCAGGCCCCACCCCACAGCAGAGGGACCCGCCACTTGCGCACAGGCAACAGACGCCACGCAGACGGACTACGGATTTCGGGTTGGTTCCACCTTCCGCCAAGCCCTCGAAAGCCATGTGTGCCACGCCCTCATGGCGCCAGCGTACAAACACCAATCCCGTTGTGAAGCATGATGCCCTTGGAAATAGAGGCAAAAGAAGAAAATGCACGGCCCTCGGGCTGTTTTCAATAGGCGCTGGCGCCATCTTGTCTCTGGGTGCTAGTACAGTAGTAGCAGATTGGATTGGCACCCTAGTCCAAGATCCCCAATACGACTTACGGAGTACGACTTCAATGACGGCAAGTTTCCAATGCGCACTAGCGGACGGGGTCCTTTTGCTGCTGTCTCAATTGGGAAATCTCAGCGACGGGCCAACAGCAAATTTCATCCCATTCCAATCCCCCACTCGCTCTCCACTGCTGGGGGGCAACCGGCACACCACCAGTTTCCATGTACTGTACCCTTGCCAGTGCCGTCCTCCCAAGACTCTCGCTGGCCCATTACTTGGAGAGAATTCCAACCCATCCCTAAAACGTTTCCTACGGCGGTCTAGTCCCACGGATACAAAATGCCCCGTATGCTTCAACGCAGCCATCCGCCCACGGAGCAACCACCCTGGATTCCCCCTGACGGCGGTGGCACCGGGGCGGTGTTTTCCTACTCTGGAATGAGGTGTGTGTTGCGGTAACACGGAACATTCAGGAAGTGCGTGTCTGCGCGCCCTCACTCTCACGCATGTACGCTAGCACCGAACGCGTTGGTTGTGAAGACGAGTAACCGCATGGATGCTTTGGGCTAATAATCAAGCCCCATTTCCCGTCGTGACTCAACTCAGTACTCAGTTCCGACAGCCAGGCGGGCTGCCAGCTTCTGCCTGCAGCTTATGGCACGGGCTTTTGGTCCGTCCCGAACACCGGACTCTGGAGATTTGATCGCCAAGCACGGCGGTATGGTCTTACCCGGCTCCCAAACTGGACCTTGCGCCCCGCCCCTGGCCACCGCCTTGCGGCACCGCAGGATGCGATGAGACACGGGGAATCATATGCTGCGACGTCCCGTGGGTGTCCCCCCTGCCTCCGGGCCCGGTCATCGTGAGCTGATCAAGGAGGCGGATCCCTTATTGTTTCCCTCAATCCGCGGGCATGAAATCCGTTCGCCGTCCAACGTCAGGGCCTGTGTGCTGTTGAGAAACCAGCCTAGGTGACACACGACACAGGCGTTGTATCAGCCCGAATCCTGAATCCCACTGATAACAAATGTAGCCGATATGTGCCCGCTTTGTTTCCGGCAAACCTTTAGTGCAGCCAAATCCGAACATTATGAGATGGATGCTTTGTCCCAACCGATTTACAGTCCGACTCATTATGATTCAATCCTAGTGTGGCTGTTATGCGGCTGGCAACGTTCAACGATGGCGGGCAGTTGCGTAACCTAAACACGCATGCTGGCGGTTGTCTCATAGAAGCGGGTTGGGCCAAAGCCGCAGCGCACTGGCCGTCCACTCCGTCCTGGCGCCTGGTGACTGGTGGAGCTGGGCTTTGGTGGTGGAGTGGCGAAACAATAGCCTTGCGAGCACGGGTTCGTCAGCTCCATCGCAAGCTGAGAAGTGAACACATGTCTCGAGAGCGGCTCTACGCAGGAGAGTCTGGCAGTTCTTGATCCCCCCAACAACCATCCGACCGTCGCCTGCGCGATCAACACAATCAAGCAAAGATCCAAATGCAACCATGCTGCTCGACAGGGTCCTCTACCCTGCCGCGCTATTTCTGTTCGCAGTCGGCTTCTTGCCGACTGCCGCCGCGAAACCCAAAGACGCGATCCTGCTCTCTGACGTCAGTTATTTTCCCCGTTCAGGGGTCCTACCCACTACCCCCCCTAGCCATCGCGCTCGTGGTCTATGGCTAAAAAACCTACATACTCACAAAAAAAAAACAGGTCCAATCTCTCACCCTCCGCGCCGACAGGGAGACGTCGCACCGCCGCGTGCCCGCCGCGCCCCAGCTGAAATGCGTGTCGCACCGGTCCGTGTGCGGCCTGCACAAGGTGGACGTGATGCGCTGCACCAACCAGGGCAGCTCGTACGGCGACGAGGACATACAGTGGTCCTGCTCCGCCTCGCTCCCGCCCGAGCTCAAGCTCGGCAGCACCGAGGTCGTCTGCGAAGGGTACTCGAGCCCCCAGGACCCCTACGTCCTCAAGGGCTCGTGCGGCGTCGAGTACAAGCTCATCCTCACCGACGAGGGCCACAGGCGACACCCGGACTTGGGCGGCGGCGGCGGTGGTGGTGACGGCGACGGCTCGCTACCCGTGTGGGTCTTTTGGGTCTTCTTCACCTTGGTCCTCGTCGTCATCGTGTACTCGGCTTGTTTCGCCAACCAGGACGGCTACGACCCCCGGGGGCCCGACGGGCGGCGCAACTTCTGGGGCGGCGACTACTGGGGCGGTGGCGGCGGCGGTGGTGGTGGCGGCGGCGGCCGGTTCGGTCGCTACACCGACCCGCCGCCTCCCTATCCCGGAACCAAGCCCGGCTCCTCCGGGGAGGGCTGGCGGCCCGGCTTCTGGAGCGGCCTGGCTGGCGGCACCGCCGCGGGCTACTATGCTGGCAGCCGGGGCCGCAACAACAACACGTATGACGGGGGCTACGGTAGCTTCGGTGGCCGTGGCAGCACTTGGGGCGGGTCTGGCGGCGCCGGGCCTTCTCGGTCCGACTCGAGTTCCAGCTCTGGCGCTCGGTACGAAAGCACCGGCTTTGGCTCCACTAGCCGACGTTGAGCGTTGTAAACCAAGGCTTGGAATATTCTGTCACACACGAGAGAGGCTATTGTTAAGTGGCATGCCAGTCCACACACAGCACATGCCTCAAGACGTCAGGGCCCACCCTGAACACAATGATATCATTTGTGTGTTGCTACATTCCTGTTCGTCGTGCCCCTTTGATGGTATCGCAAACATGCCCTGTGGGCCTCTTTGATTTCTAACAGAAAAAGGTATTCGATGACATGGCTGGACTCGTCCCTCCCGCGCAAGCTATTATGGTATTGCATACAAATAGAAGTACAGACGTACAAGGCATCCAAGACATGTGCCGCCGGCTCTTTGACCTAATGCAAAACAGAACAGACGACGCTGGCGCAGAGTATAAGACAACCTATCATGCAAAGATAGGTCTCGAAGCGACATTGGGCGACTTCAATGCCCAAGGACAAATGATGTATCCCCAACAAGCCGTCCCTTGGGACTAGCTGACAAGCTCCAGCCTCTCGCCTGTCCTCTTGTGGTGCTGAAATCCACGTTCCGCCCGCTGGTGGACAGGATATCGAGAGGTCTAGTATCCGCAACATGCGTGTCCTTGTGGCGAAATGGGCAAAAACGCCCAAGTGCCAGGAAACCGAGCATATTGACGCGGTCAGGGGTGAGACAAGGGTGCCGGGGTCATTACATGTGAATATGCATGACGTCCATCTTGTCGAATGCCTTGCCACAGGCAGGGCATTTTCGCCTCCGGTTCGCGACTCTGCTTTCGACACACTCGTTGCAGAAGACGTGCCCACAGGTCTTGAGAGTGACGTTCTTGAAGTTGCCGTTACAAACGTTGCAGAGCGCGAATTTCTGAAAACACACGTGGTTAGCTTGGGCAATCCAAAACTGCTGGAAAGGAATGCGACTTACTCTCAAGTTTTCTTCCGAATCACTGGACCCCCGGGACTTGTAGTTATCCCTCTCCTTCAACGCATGCTCAAGGCGAACTTTGACCTTCTCCAGCTCTTGCTCGTGCGCCACTACCTTCTCCTTGAATGAATGTGCCGCCGCGTCCTTGGCCTTGACCAGACCGCCGAGGTTCGAGGCTTGACTCTTGAGAGCCTCGTGCTGGCGTAGAGCATCCGAACTGGCCGCTTTGGCCTTCCGGTTGTCTTCAAGGATCGAAACGTTGGACTGCTTCATCTCTGCGAGCTGCTTCTCCAGATTTGCGACCAAAGTCCTAGTCTGCGCCTCGACGTCCTTGAGCTGAGAGATGATGGTCGAACTCGTCTTGTTCTGCATCTGCAGCGTCTTGTTTTCGTTGATGCGCGCATCCGTGTCTCTCCTGGCCGCAAAGTATTTTTGCTCCGCCTTGTTCTTCTCGGCCGCTAGGTTCACCACCTTGGACTCGAGAGCAGCAAGGTCTGTGAGCTTCTTCTGGGAAAGAGCAACAGCCTTCCTGTAAGCCTTTTCGACCGACGGAACCTCGCTCTTGATCAGTTCAAAGTCCTTCTCAAGCTTGGTGTACCTGGTGATTAGATCCGCAGAAGAAAGGGCCTCGAGGTCCTCCCTTGGTGTCGACATTGCAGCGTCCTCGGTCGGTCGGAGTCGCTCGAGTTCGAGTTCGAGTCCGGCGATGCGGTCGTCCTTGGCGCTCAACAGGTCCTTGATGTGCTCCGAAGATGTCCTTTCCTGATCGGCCTTGGCCTTCTGGATCGTAAGGTTGGCGTTGAGGTCGTCACGAATAGAACGGATACGTGTCAGGTCCTGGTCCTTCTGGTGAAGCTGCTCCTCAAGATCGGCCGTGATGGCTTGCGCCTCGCGATTTAGCTGGTCGCGGTACGTCGCCCTCTCCGACTGGAGTTTCTCGGCCTCCTCTCGCAGCTGCTTGTTGATAACCTCCAAGCTGTTGATCCGCCTGATCAGATCCTCGTTCTGGGATCTGAAATACTTGAACAAGTCTGTACGCGAGTATTCCTCGTCTGTGACGGTTTCCTGGCGGGCCTTCAATGATGTGTGCTGCTCCTGAAGGGTTTTGATCTCGGCCATTGCTGCAGCAAGCTGCTCCTTCTGCTTAGACAGCACAGCAACAGTTTCGTCATACTTCAGTTGCAGCGCCTCGGAGTTTCCGTTTGCGCCTGCTTCGTCGCCGCCGCGCTCGGCCGATGGGGCTCGTGCTGTCGCGTTCTTCAGTGCCTGTTGCTCAAGCTTTTGAACCTGGGCGCTCTTGGCGCGATCGAGTTTTTTCTCGGCCTTGACATATCGTAGGGTGGCCGTGTCGAGCTGCTCAGAAAGTGTGTCTTTCTCGGCATTGGAACGATCTAGCTTCACTAGGAGATCCTTGATAGTCGCGCGGCCTTTTGCGATCTGCGCTTCGAGATCGGCGATGACCGGTTTCACTTCTCTCCCGGCGGAAACGAGCGAGAACAGCGTCTCTAACCTTGACTTGATGGCCTTGCTCTTGTCTAGCAGGTGTTCGCGAAACTCATCATGGTCTTTGAACATGAGCGCCGTGCGCTGCAGGGAGGAGAATTCTGGCGCCGGAAAGTGTCAGCTGGAAGGTCGCTGAGGTCGGCGGGAAGTAGGCGGTAATACCTTTCGATTGTAGGTCGGAAGAGATGGATCCTTGCGCTGCGAGCTCGACTTCTTCCAGCAACTGCGGGACGTCAACATCGGTCGTGGGGGACGGCACGTGAGCGGAATTGGCAGGTGGGCAGGCTGCATACCTGGAGCCACCATTGATCAACTACCCTCAAGTGATCGTCGTGGTGGGTGGAGCGTTTCGTAACTTCTTCGAGTCGCGATTCTAACGTTGTTTTCTCTCGCCTGTACTCAAGCATCTGACGGTAGATGGCATCTTTTTGGTAGTCCTGCAAGGCCCTCATGTCAGCATTCAATCACTATCTCGCCACCCCGACCACGTGTCGCGCGGCGCGCGGCGCCAGAGTGAAATGTGTGTATGGGCAAGGCTTGATTTGTTTGGCATGGGTGGATGTGCAGTCTGAACCTGAAGATAGAGCAGGCTGTGGTGGCAGCGAGCCCGGGATTAGCATTGAACGCGATGTGCGGTTGCCATGCCGCCCGGTCACTATGGAGGGAGCCCGGCCACCGATCTGCAGCGACCGCATGGCCGACCGGGCGGGCAGCGTGCGACATGTGGTTGCAAAAGGGCTGTGGTTCGTTGCATTGGGGGCGACGTGAGGGAGGGAAACGGAGCAGAGATGACTGCCGAACTGTGGTCGCTTACCTCGATCCAAGCCTCGTCTCGCAAGTCATTGTCGTCTCGCGACTTGGAGCCGCCGTTGACGGCCTGTCGCTTGCTCGGCGGCGCGATTTCGTCGGTCGCGCTGAGCGCGGGCCTCTTCCTGTCTTCCATCTTGACGAAGCCAGATGGGTGAGAGGAAACAGCGGGAGATGTGGAAATAGGCATGAGAGACAGGAGCTGGGCGAGGAACGGTCGGCTTGGTGCTTTGGGGCGGTCGCTGGCCTTGACAAAGGAGACGGTCGGGTTGATGGAAAAGGAGCAGTAGAACGAGAGTAAGAAGAGAAGGCGGAGATCGTTCACAGGCCCCTCAGCCAGGCAGCGGAACCGATCAGGCGCGGCATGGGAGAGAGCGTCGGGCGGCGTACGTGATTGAAGGCTCGCGAAAACAACGTTGCCAGTCAGGAGTTGATTTTTCGACGACGCCCCTTCCCGGGACCAGATTCCATCCAAGGTGATGACCAAGAAACTCGGGCCACCAAACGTGGTGAGTGGAGCCCGCAGAAAGGCCGCTAGTCCGGTTACGGCATAGGCTTATCAGACCCATCCACGCGTTCCGCCGTTCTCCATCGCGACTCGACTCTGCATTGTCACAGATCCATAACCCCACCAGCGCAACAATTTCACTGCAGTTAAAACGAGCCGCGCTCACCCCGCAGTCCTTTGGTCCAGCGATTGGCGCGACGAGACGAGAATCCACGAGATGCGTCGCGAGAGCACAGCGACCCACGACGAATAGCCATCTTGCCAACCTGCTTGTCGATCACGGATACCTAGAGCTGGTGCGCCAGGACCTGAGGGCAGGAGCGCGCGCTCGGTCATTCCTGCGCATGCCGGGTCCTGCCTGGTTCTCGAGGCGCATTGCGCAGAACGAGCCGTGGGACGGAGCTGTAACCATTAGGACTCCTCGAGGCTGCCGTCATGTTGAAGAAAAAGGGCGCGCCGTCCTTCAAGCCGAAGGCCGGCATTCGAAGAAACCCCCCTCCAGCGACGACCCGGCTCTCTAAGACCCCCGCGCCCACGCCATCTGAGGCACCCTCGGCCGGCCCAAGCGAGTCAACTCCCGCGACAGCGCCTGCGGCCCCCGCTGCTGCCGTAAATGCGCCGCCTGCCACCGAGTCAACCACCCAGATTGCGCCGACGCCTGTCCCGAGCGAGGCTCTGCCCACCCCCGCCTCGACAGTCACTGAGGCATCAAATGCTCCATCGCAGCCTGTCGAAGCTCGAACCGCCGCCCCAAGCGCCACGGCCGTCTCGGCTGCTCCGGCTGTAAGCATAGCCTCAACCCCAACCGAGCCGAGGACACAAAGAGCCCCCGCGCCTAAATCTACGAGGCCAGTCGATAGTGTCCAGGCACCGCAAGTAGATAAAGATGCTGGAAGTACAACAACGGCTCCACAGCCCACCACAGCCCCCAGCACGGCTATCGCCCCTGCAAACATCTCGACCCCAAAGGCTCCGGAATCGCACGCGCCCGTGCGACCTGGCCAGCCTTCCGCCATTGCGACAAGCGCTGGTGAGGATGTACGAATCCCGGAAAGAACAGAACAGGCTCATCCCCCCGCTCCACCAACGCCAGCGCCCACAGCAGCACCCTCGGCATCTGGCCATGTACAAACCGATCCCGAAACAACGAGCACAGTAGCCTCTAGTGAGCTAGCAAGCGCCCAAAAAAGGCCTAGACAGACCAGGAAACGTAAGACACCAGCCAGCGCCGAAGTTGCTGGCTCGTCTGCAACTACAGAGGAGACTCCTGCAGCGACACCGGCGAGAAAGCGTCGCATGACGAAGGCGCAAGCCGCCGCCGCCCAAGCCGCCGAGGGGGCAGAAGCGACGGCGGCCGAGGGTGAACAGGGGGCGCAATCAGCACCCCAACTTAGGAAACGCCCCGCAGCACGGAGGGGAGCCCGCGCGGCTGTCGCGGCGGACGAGGGGGCGGATGCAAGCGCGGACGCTGTTGCTGGGGGAGAGCCTGCCCAACCGACCCGGCGGGCCAGAGCAAGGAAGAATGCTAGGAACGCGACAGCGGCTGAGAGCAGTTCTGGTGCCGCCCAAGACGCAAACGGCGAGAACATCCCAGCCAAACCCACCAGGAGGCGCAAAAAAACAACGGCAGCAGCAGCAGGTGCTGAGGCCGAAGGGGATACAGGTGAAGCGGATGAGACGGCGGGCGCGAGGGAAAAGCGTGCCCCAAAACCACCACGCCGGGAGCGCTCAGAAACGCCTGAGAACGCGGAGGAGCAGGTCATCGACCCGAATAGTCTCACTATGGCGGAGCTAACAAAGGATCTGCGCATTGGGAAGAAGTTCAGCAGGCATGACGAGCTGCGCGACAGGATGAAGGAGCTCAGCGCGAAGCAGCGCGAGGAGCGGAGACTACGGAAGGTCGGCGGTGGCGAAGCGACGGGATCAGGCGACGACGATGTTATCCCCGGAGCTGAAGGTTCGGAGACACAGGCCTCCAGCGGAGCTCCGGCGACGCGGGCGCCGGCGGTACTTGGACCGCAGTTTGAAATCATCAACGGCGAGATTGTCATCAATCAAGCATCTCTGGTGCACGACAGGCACGCCGAGGCGATGGCGGACCAGGTGGACATGGAGGAGGTTGAAGAGAACGACTTCACCCGCATGACCAACTCATCCACGTACCGGAGGCCCAATAAGCTCAAGGGCCCCAACTCGTGGAACAAGGCGGAGACGGCGCAGTTCTACGACTATCTGCGCATGTTCGGAACCGACTTCCAAACAATCGCCAACATGTTCCCCGGAAGGACGCGGCGCCACGTCAAGATGAAGTTCAACCGCGAGGAGAGACACAACCCGCGGGGCGTTAACGCCGCCATCGTGGGCCAGAAGGAAGTCATGATCGACCTCGACGAGTACCAGACCCGCACCGGCCGCGAACTTGAGGCCACGGCCGCCATCGAGGAGGAGCACCAGCGCAGGCAGGAGGCCCACGAGGCGGAGCAGCGCCGGATCCAGGAGGAGGCCGACGCGCTGCAGGCCGAGAAGCGCAAGAAGCTCCTCGGCACCGGGCCCGGCGACGATGCCGCCAGCGGGGACAAGGGAGGCGCCAGTGGGACTTCCAAAGCTTCGGGTGCGGCTGCGGCTGCGGTTGTGGAGCCGGAAGAGGACGTCGAAATTATCGATGAGGACGAGGAGGCAGCTCGCCCCCCACCTCCGCGACGGAAGCGGCGTGGGGGTGGTATAGGCGGCTGATCCCTTGAGCTCGTATCATGTTTAGCTGCTCGTTGTGAGCTCGCCCGCGCCACGCGGTGTGACAGCCCAGATGGACTCCCTGCCAATATACCATTTATGTATTGTCGTGGAACCTCGTTTTGCACCCAAACCTTCTCGTCTCCTCCACTGGAGTTGCTGCAGTTCCACTTCATGCATATAAGTTCTCGCTGGCCGCCCATGTAGCATAAGGTTGTGGCTGTGGCACCAACAGCGGCGGCCTCACCGCCGATATGTATCTGTAGGGCTGCTTTAGGTGTATAGTGCAAGCCCAGATGGACAAGCGTAGCGGCTGTGGCTAGGATTTCCTACCCAAGTCTAATGTCATCTCTTCTCTCCATGGAGATTTCTTTTAATACACGCTGCCCTTCGAAGGGAAAGAGCCTGGGAGGAGCAGGTGCTGATGGCGTGGCTTGATATTAGTCCTTTGGTATCGGTCACGAGCTTCATTGGTAATTACGAGCTGGCTTTCTAGGAACGCACCATGGAGTTGGAGCTGTTTGTTGGTTTTCTAAGTCTACAAATCGCCCGGCGTGGCAGAATGACCGGCCGGCAGTGGAGGCGAACCATATCTGAACTTCATGTTGTCGTCTGAACTCTTGGCCCACTTGGCTCGTCCCATGTTGCGCCAGTCACTGGCCGAGCAGCGTCCCATCTCAAAGGGGGAGGAGCGAGGCACACCGGGTGCACATATCAGTCCGACCTGGAGCGTTACTTCCAACAAGCTCCCGCGGCAAACGGAATGGTCGAGTGGTAGAGAAATCTGCCCTTCTTCCATGCGTGAGGCATAGTACACCCACGTCGTGAGTTCGAGTACGAGTGTTGTCAGGTGTCCCTTTGGGGTATAAAGTTCCTGGTAGTAAAGGGCACTCGGTTGAAAGATGCTGAGCTTCGAAGAAAAACCTGTACAGGGTTTTCGTACCTCGGTTCCAGAAAGCACGGTAACCGGGCGAGCTTTTTGTCGGTTTTCGTATCTTCTTTTAACTTTTCTTTCCATCTTTTGCGTTCTGGCGCGTATAATCATACACTGCATTCCTTGCTTCCTACCCGCAACCCATGATCCTGGCGCAGATGCTGCTCGAACGTATCTCGGCAGTCCCATGTCTCATCTCATCCCTATTGTATTCGCAGTCGTGTCGGTCGCATAAATAGCAGTTTCGAAAGCGTACCAGTCCCAGTGAGACCTGCTCTCGGTCGTCCGTCTCCGGCGACACTCGACGAGGAGCTGGGCACATTCCCTGAGCTTGGTATGGTTACCGGGCTGAAGCATGTAGTTGGCGAACGCAGTGTCCATCTTTTCCATCGTCTGGGTGCCGGATCCGGGGGGCCACCACTCGCTCATCTCGACTACGTTTTGGTCACGGGGGCCGTTGGGCCCGTTGAACCTGAAGTAGCGGGCGTCGCTGGCCCACTCTTCCAAAGACCTGTGCACAAACTCCGGGTCGCTGGATTGGATATGCGTCTCGGAGGGTCGGGTTGTGCCGATGCTGACCCACGTTCTGATCTTTTTGTCGCTCTCGCGTAGGATATTTCTCAGCTCTTTCTTCACCTCCTCCGCCGGGTTGGTGGCGATAGTGGCTGTGTCCGCAGCAGCACAGTGGCTTTGCGGTTACCAGCCACCTGGTCCCTTCCAGACTGCTGACGAAGGATGCTACCCCTGCCTGTTCCCAGCCTTGGAGTTCCAGTCCCTTTCTTTCTCTGATGGGCTCACCATCACGCAGCTCAATCTCAAGCGGCTCGAAGACGAACCTCGCTGCTGTCGCTGCCCGGCCCACCTCCCATGCCGCAAAACTTGTCCCTTGCCCTAGGTTTCGAGGTGCGGCAATCGAGGCTCCGGTAAGCGGACTTATAGCATTCAATCTTGCTTCCGATGGCGGAGGCGCGAAGTTGTTGTACGAACGGAGGAGAAACAAGGTTTCCATCACTGCTTGTCCCTCCCCACCACTCGCTACCTCACGCCCAGCAAGCACGATCCTGTAAAGGGGGCGTCAGCCACTGGTGGCAATCATGCAGAATATGGCGGCCTTCTATCTGGCGCAAGTACTTACGCTCGACAAAGGCCCGTTGGCGACTTGAAGGTCATGGCGCCTTCCTGATCGCCCGAGATCTTGCCGCAGCGACGGATGACATCTTGTATCGCTTCCTCCAACGGTATCGTTGCAGATTTGTTCTTCTTGCTTACCAGGCCCTGCCAGCCCCCTTGATAGGATCTGCGCGGGTTCCCAAACATCCTGTCACCCAGCGTTTTGTATTCTTCAATGCAATCATCTACAGGCATCCGAAGCCTGGCCAGCATGATGGTGATGAGTCTTGCGATGTCGCGGTCAGTTCGGATGGATTCTCTCTTCAATCAGGACGAAAACGAACTTACGCCCCCGTCGACGTTCCGCCAACATAATCGAAGTAGTGACATGGGAGAAAATGGGTAGTTGAGCTGGCATTGTCCGGGCTGACGGTAATGTGGGAGACATGGTCTGGTTCATGACAAGGATGGAAACTCGAGGAGCCCGGTCGAGGCTGGTTGCCAATATTCTTAGCTTCGGCTTGCCTTCTTTCCTCGTATTTGATGTATTCCATGAGCATCTTGAGATGGAGGAGGCTGTAGTACCCTCGAATGCCACCATCTGGTTATAGGCGCACTTTCTGTTAGTAATATGTAGGTAACGGGGTGTGGTGCGAGTAATGTTGCGAACTTAGTGTCAGGGTGTTGACCTCCTTCCAAGCCTCTGTTTGGCTACTGGTTCTGGAGCTTTCTCCAGTGCGCCCTTGAGAGCTTTCCATCTTGAGAAAGCGTCTACTTCCCCAGGCAATTCAATGAACGAAGGGAAAGGGGCCAATGGGTTAGGGGGCCAATAGTGTGGCAAGGTCTAGGGCTGTTGGCAATAGTGAGGATAGTAGAGCAGAACAACTTGGCCCACTGAGGTGAAGAGATGATAGAAGTCGTGGGATTCACCCTAGTGCTTGAATTTCTGTCCTAGGCGGCGCAGGCCCAAGATAAATGAGAGGACTTGCTGTAAGCCTCGATTGACCGAAATGGGAGGACACCCACAACCTGCCTGAGTGTGAAACCTCCTAGGCGTACAGACAACTGCCCCAGGAAGGTATCGTGGCTTTTCCGTTACATCGAAAGCACATACATGACCGTCATCTCGATATTTCGTTGGCTGGGCGTGTGAGGGCGGCCAGCAAGGCTGCGCTCCCTACTTCTGTTGGCGCACCAAAGCACGCATGTTTGGAACTGAGGGGCAATTTCGTATGTCCATAGGATTGAGCATCCCCTCTCCGGGCAACTGGCCCTCTTTGCCTTCTGTGTACCGATGGCGCATATAAGCGATAGCTATTGGCTTCTACGTGGGCATTTGGGTGAAAAAGAGGCGTTATCGTGATTGGTAGCCTTTCCATGCCATCTCCAAGCTATCGTTGCTGCCTACCGAGTTGCTTTTCCAGCTGTGGGGGTTTTCTGTCCGACCCCAATGGGCTCATGAGTGGAAGTTGATAGCGCCACGACAGCTTTGGGTGTTGTTGGCAGGAACTTGGGTACCCTCGTCGGCGTCCAGCACCACGCCAATGAAGTGTGTGTTACGCGGAAGCTCTTCACGCCATTCCTTGGATCACACAAGAGGTAGATGGTGGGCAGGGAAACAGGCCACCGAAGTACGTAGAACCCTTATTCGCCGGGCAGTTGAGTTACGCTCCAGTGAGCCTCGGTGTAGGTACCTATGCCAGCGTCCCCTTGCCACATTACCTTCCCCTCAACTTTGGTAATTTTCCCCCAACTAACTCAGCTCTTACATATGTACTTCGAAGTCACGCAAACATTCTATGTCTCTTGCACTATCAGCGCCCATCAGCCCACAGTCTTCATGTCGAGGTGGTCAGCGCCCAGCCACGCCTGGGATTCCAGCCAGCAAGCAACGGCTGAGAGACACTCTCGTCCGCAGCGAGCGGTCCTTGCTGATTGAGTCGGGCTTTAGCAAGATCTCGGTGGAGCAGAAGCAACCTCCCAATACTAAGACCTCCCAGCGCACTTTTGTCGACTCCGTCGCTGCGCTCGTATTACTGTTGCTCCTAGAAGATTAACTCCAATTCGGCCTACCTGGGCCTCGTCTAGGGCTAGATAACGGGGAGCTCGTTGCAGCGAGGGGAAGAAGGTATGGGTCAAGTGCCCATCCTGGCTGAGAAGGAGGGCTTTCAGATCGAAACGTTGAATTTCCATCTTGGATACAGGGATAATATCGGAGAAACAACAATGAGCTCACGGAGGTGTGTTTGAAGAAGAAATTCGAGGCTTGATAAAAAGGCCTAGTTGGTGCGAGCAGAGCTCTTTGGCGAGGTAGATGGACAGGCGCTTGTCTCGACAGGGGCTGATTCAGCCTACTGTCGACTATCATGGTGGATTTTACCTATCTATCGATTTCCATTGTTTCTGGGACTAAGCATCGGGCACCGACAGCGCCCCTTTCCTGCCGGCCACGACATTCGATGCGACAACAGTGCGGTGTTTCCAATCATAAACGCAACTGCGTACAGTTGGTGGGCGCTGGTGGGATTTATGTCCAATCATATCCGTGGGGCAACACTTCTCTGTTGCGATTTTCAGACATATCGAACATCTCAGCGCGTACAAATATGACGACTTTGCCTGTATGGAGATAGATGCATTATCTACCCATTTGCCGTCCCTGCCAGGTGCCTATCAACACCACCATCAATCTCCTTCAAATCTCATCGTCTGGCACAAGTGCAGACCTTTGACGGCCAGCGCGCGGTTTAGCGGTCTGGCGCCGTTTGGCAAGTCTAAAAGTCGGGTAGGCGCAGTTGACGTGCAGGAAGCTTGCGTGGCAAATTGGTGCTTTCAAGATGAAGTTTAGGCAGGGCAAATCCCCGCAATTTATCAACATCTTGGGGCGCAATTTTTGTTGGCGACACCACAACATCAGGTCCCGTGGATCCATCCTCCGATTGCGAAACGAGCTTCCCCTCATTGCGGCAACGTACCGTCCGTCATAATTATCAAGGTCATTACATCATCGTCCCGTGTTCGCTTCAAAGCCTTTATCTTGACCTGATTCAGCGAAGCCCGACGTGCACCAAAACCCTGCTGACACCGCCACCTACCGGACGGAGCGCAGCGAGGGGAGGTAGGCAGGTGGAAGCAGGGTTTTGGTGCGCGGAGGGCGTAGCTGTTCTTTACCGGGGCGATCTGACAGAATTGCTGACAAAGGTTTCTCCTATTCGGGACACAGTTCGCACCTTAAATGGCTCTCGACCAGTCCCCGCACGAGGATCCGACCGTCGTAGCTTACGATTGGTTAACTTTAATCGCTAGACAGTGCGGCGTGTTGGGGGGGTTGGGGTTGTTGTAGTAGCCCTCCGCAGGAGAAAAGCGCTCCGCAGGAGCACCCGGAGGGCCGCCGGAGGCAAAAGGGGGGTCCCAGGGGGTCTCCCCCTGGAAATTACCGGTTAAGCAGTAAAAATCAGTAAAAAATATAAATTACTGGTTAAGCAGTAAAAA